TATCTAAAATTAACAAATGTATTCCCTGCTTCCCCGCAACTCTGGGCAGGGATCAGAAATTTAGAAAGCACCCTAGGCGTGGCCTCGGACAAGGAGATGTGTCCAAGACTGTTTTTTGAAAGACCCTGACTGGTCCCATCAGCATTTTCATTTGCTCCCCATGAGGACAGAACTCAGAAGGGAGCAGTCACCATACAGGCACGTGGACAGAACAGAAGAAGGAATTCGTTGTTAAGGAAGCACTCTTACTTACACTGCGGATGACCGAGTAGTCCTCAGTCATCCGCAGTGGGTGCTCCATTATTCTCAGAGACAAGTGCTGCAGTTTGTAATTTAGAAGACTCCCTCCTACACTGGCCAGTGCTCCCAAAGCAATTGCAGTGTCAGGAATCTGGCTGAGATAAGGAGTATGTGTACCTCCAGGCTCAAAAAAGTCACAGCACTGAATTAACATTCAGGAATCAACTTGGAACCTTATATGCACAGCTTCTCAGAACCTGTTCCCAAGGAGACTGAAAATTTGGGTTAAGTTTTATTTGTGCAGTTACTGTGTGGAGAATTACTCCTCTGTCTCCATGTGGATGAAAGTCACTAGATAGCTTAAAACTCAAACACATAAGCATCAAGAAACACTGAAAATGAGTTTTTTAAGTACCAACTCACTAATTGGGCTTATATGTGTTTGGCATAGTAGAACCAGCAAAATTGATTCAGCATACTATGAAATCCCCACACTTACCACAGGTTAATGCCACAGGGAAGGCTTACCTACCCCTATGCTTGAATATAAAGTGTTTTGATATCAAGTTTTTGGATTTTGGTTTTGAGGGATGTTGGTGTTACAAGTATGAGAGCAGGTGAAGGGACTGTCATTCTGTCCCATGTTCTGAAACTGTAAATCTTAGTCACAAGCTTAATAGCAAGGAGCACTTCACACTATTTACTAAAGTATGATGAGAATCTACTTTTATTTAAGGGAGAAAAAAAAAGACAAAACTTGGAAACCCTGTCTGAATAAAGAAAAGACCAATATAGGATTCCTGTTTTGATGCTTCCAACATGGAACACACTTTAAGGTTGCTAGTTTCACCCTCAGGTCAGTTCCCTGCATTCTCATCCAGTTGGTTGCTTATAACTACCTAGTAGGTTAGCTGTTGGCCCTGTGGGTCAAGTGTGCCCATACACTGACTCCCAAACGCAGAGCATGCCTTGTACTCAGCAAGGCCTCAGAATTATCGAATAAGTAAGCACAGTAGCTAAACCCAGAGGAGAGGGTGGCTTGGTTAAGACTTCCTAACCATTAGCATTTTGGCCAAAGTAATTAAAAAAGCATTTATTAAGCAGAGGAAAAGTGTGTCATTACTATGTTCTGCTCAGGTGTGAGATTGGCCTAACAGAACACAAAGAACGCTGTAGGCTGGGAGTCACATAGAAATCACTTCAGTGGGCCATTCCATTGCCTGCCCTATCTACAAGAGCTTGAATTGGTAGCCCTGAGCACTCTCCTCCCACTGCCAGCAGCCAGAAAGAATTGTCCTCATCTTGTGGAGCTAGGGCATTATCATGTTGCTAAGAAGAGTTGTATTTGTATAGCAGTGTGCAAAAACCACTGCACTTAGCCTTACCCTGATGAAGCCCCTAGGGCTGAGAAATTCCTGCTTGTGCTTTTTCTCCTGGATGTAAAAACAGAACATAGACCGCAGATCATTTCAGGGAAATAGAGAACTGAACAGAAGTAAATTCCATAACTCATACCTCAAAGATCAGCACCCACAGAAGCCCCAGGGCTGTGAGGTATCAAGTTTCCCCTTACAAAGAAGATAGAGCAGTCCTCCTTCACATACCAAATCCACACTCCTAACACACACACACACACACACACACACACACACACACACACACACAGGCACGCAAACATGCAAACAGCATTCTGGAACATTATTGTGGGAATGACTCAGAAGAAAGATGTGCTACTCAATGAATCCCAGCAGAGCTCAGCTTTTCCTGGGAGGTCTTCCTTAGGAAGGATGGCCCAAGCTTTCACCCTGTGGCTAATGAGATCATCTCCCTGGGAAGGGTCTGGATAGGCTCCTTAGGCTCTGTCTGAAGCAGGAATGGATCTTCTGTTCCAGTATCCAGGCTGTATTGACAGCCCTTGCTATTTCCTCTGCCCAGAATCCCTTCTCCCTCTACCAGGGAAACCCTGTCCAAGTTTTGTGGCTTTTTCTTACTGTGTCTGTTGCCTAGGTTGTAAGGTCCTTGAAGGATGGTTCTCTAGTTCTACCTCCATTTGAAGGAACTGCCCTCATCCTGTTGACTCTTGAAGTGGAAAAAAAAAAGACAAAACAGTTTCAGTGCTGTTTGAAAGTCCTAGCTCACATCAAACTCTGTCTGAACAGGAAAAGGGAAAGAAAAGTTTCAATTTTCCTAAGCCCAAAACATCAAAATGCCCGACCTAAGCAGAAGTCTCTCTTAAAGGCAAGTTCCATTTAATTCAGAAAAATGTCTTTTCTATGTAAGCCCCTGGGCCTTCTACCGTATGGGTCAGAGAACATTCTAAATAAATTCTGGTAACATAAACACAGAAAGGAATTCTCTGACCCACTCACAGAGCCGCTGCAATAGGAGAGGTAGGGACATCTAGACATTTCACACACAGCTAACTATCTGCCCCTCGTTACAGAGAATTTTCTGGGCCTCAGGCCAGGTTCTAGGGCCAGCCCAAGGCTCATAGGTCTGGGGCTGTAGGGGTGGTCATACTGACCCTCAGCAAGACACTTCTTGCTGTTGTCTTCTCTGGAGCAATCTTCTGGTTGAGTGATCTTTGGAAGTAGCAGACCAAGGCTGTCACAGGGAATGAAGCAACCTGACTTGAGAACTCATATGCCAGTTGAAGAGTAACTCAAAAGTCAGCATATAGAGAGAAACAAAACATAATTTCAGATTGGGATATACCATCATGAAAATAAGCACATTTTTTCACACTAGCATTTAGTCAATGATCTGAAAGGGCAAGTTCTTAAACAAAAGCAGGCAGATGTTATAGCAGTAGTACACCCAAAGGTGGAAGGAATTTGCTGAGTTGGATAAGTAGAGAAATATGCCTGAGCAAGAGAAAGGCAAAGGTGGAGTCCAGCAAGATCTCTTCTTTCCTGTAGCCATACAACAGCCCAGAAGGGCCTGCAAGGTGTGCCCAGCTGCTCACCCATCAACCAAGCATATTACACTGTACAGGACATGCATCAACATGTATTTCTAATTCTTATCTGTGAAACAGAAGGAAATTAATCTTTGCTAAGTTCCTGAGCTAGAATATTATATAAGTTTTACCAGTCGTACATGCATGTGTGCGTGTGCGCACGCGTGCGCACGCACACACACACACACACACACACACACACAGAGTAAAGCTTTTTGTCCCTGACCATACAATCCAAAGACACGCTGCTGCAGATACTGTCAGTAAACAAATGTCAAGTCACCTTGCTGTTCCACCTGTCCAGTTCTCTGCAGTTTCAAAAGACATTGCTGTAGCCCTTCTAGGAGGTTTACATTGCACTTTGGGATCCTTCTAGATTGGGAGTGTTATGTAAGTGTAAGTGCATCATCATTACTCTCAACATGGATTTATCTTTCTCTTTAGCACCACATCGGGTTTGCAATAATGCAGCTGCTTCAGGACAGAAAGGAAACTATAAATGCAGAAAACCACAGCCAGTAGAAAAGAAAGCCTGGAAGGCCTAAGCCAACTCCCATGCTCAGCAAGTTGTTTTTCTAGTCTCCCCTAGCCAACACTGCCCCCCACCTCATGTTAAAAAACAACAACAACAACCAAATCCTGTGGAAATTGTCCATACCTAAAGCTTGGCTTGAAGCTGAGTGTGGTGGTGCATGCTTGGAATCCCAGAACTTGAAAGGATAAATGAGGAGAATCAAAAGCCACATAGGTAAATACTGCCTCATATAAAAGTGAGAGAAAAGGGGGCAACTTGGCTGATGTGGTTATCGTTAAGAATGCTCTAACTACTATTCCCCTACTTTTTGGAGTTTGCTTATGATGGAGTGAGTGAGTGAATGTGTGTATGTATTATATATACAAATAAAGTAAAATGAAGTACAGTTTATATATACAAATAATTTTAATTACTCAAGCCCTAACATGCATCTAAACATTTTGAAAGGTACTCTTATACAACTTCCACATCCCACTCTGACCCACTCCACCTCAATTATTCTGCATCTATGCACATATATATGCATAAGCATGTATAGGTATACAATACCCACATATACATGCACATCTATGCAATCACAAGATGGACACATGTACACACATGTGCATGTGTACTCACATCTCCATGCATTAGTGTTTTAAGCACTTCCTAACAAGTCCCTATCACTTGCTCTTTTCTATCTCCTTCTCAAACTGAATTTATCAGTCCCATCCATAAAATTTTCACAGGAAAAATTCATGTCCTTCACTAAGCTATAATAAAATGTTCTACATTCTTAGGAAACTGATATTTGTTGATGTGACCCTTGACTTCCATGTAAATGCCACCAAAAATGGGAATTTCTTATTCAAAAGGAGGCCTTAAAGAAGTATGTCCTGAGATATTCTTCAGGTATTCTTCAGATATTCTTCAGCCTGGCCACAGAAAGAAAAGCCTGTGTGCAAGCTTAGGCCTAGCTGTGCCTTATAAAAATTAATGCACTCAACTTCTGAAGTGGCAACTGTACAAAATAAAATGAAATGGGAGTTGTGTGGACCTTTATTCCACCCACACTGTCACTCTGAGGAATGTGCATTCTTCACACCTCCCAGTCATCCAGCTTTGGAAAGAAAAGAAAGACTTCCCCCATGTGGAAAAATCTACCTGCTGCCTCTATGATTTAGGGGGTGTCAGCCTAACCTGAAATAATAAAGACCATTATGATGTCACTGTCTCCATACTCACTTTTAGAGCCTGTGGACCTTCCTTTCAAAAACATGCGTTTATGAATAGGACTCTGTGGTGGCTGACATGTTGTTGCTGAGTCAGTATAGTTGTGAGAACTGAGCCTGAAAAAGGGGCTTTACAAGACCTTTTTGTGTGGCTTGTTATAGCCAGCCCATTGGCTCTCCTGCCATTTCACTAATGTACATCAGATTTCACAGTGCAAAATCAAAACTCGGACTACTACAGTTAGTTCATTAATCAGCACCAGGACATCCAGAGAGAACAACTCCAAAGTCTACTAGAATGTATGGAATGTAGCAGAGACACAGGTATGTGGAATAACCTAAAATCTTGCTATTTCTCTGGCCTCCAGTTTTCTGATCATGGTGGTATCATATGGATGTGTTCCACAGCCATTTTGGGGGCTTCACAAAAATAAAAGAAGAGTATAAGAAATGTTGAAAACTGTTAAGAAATGGGGTAGAGAGGTAAAAACACAAAAGCACAAACTGAGTCATTACTACTAACCAAGAGAAAAAAAATCAGATCAAGGGGAATAGATCACTTTGGTTTAGCTGCATGTTGTATTAAAAATCCAAGAAACAGCCATAACCTCCCTATTTCCTCAAACGGAGGAACAACCAATAGTGTTGGAAATGGGCCAGGTCCTTAGCATGTGCTTAAAGAATGCTTTTTGATTTTCCCCAACCACCCAAGAGTCTTTTTGAGGGGCTGTGGCTGGGCCTTGTGACACATGTCTATAATCTCAGAACTTGGATGAGAGAAGCAGAAGGATCATGAATTTGAGGTCTGGGCCACAGAGTGTGTTCAAGGCCAGCCTAAGCTAATAAAGAGACTCTGTTTCAAAAACCCAAGAACTCACTGATAAGAGTGCTCACACAGCATGCACAGGGGCTGTACCATTCCCACTAAGCAGTGAGGAGGAAGAGGAAGAATCTTATGAGAGAGGAGAGGAGAGAAGCAGGAACACTTTTAAGGTTATGTAGACCCCAATGGACCAGTGACTTACTATCTTATTTGAGAACTCAAGCTCCCTATTTCTTCCAATGAGGCATTCATCCCATTTTAAATGTTAAACATAAGCACCTTATTTATTATAAACACATATACATCTTAACATTATTACCGCAATGAGCTTAACTTCCTTTTGTGTATGTAGAAAGATTATCTAAGATTTGATATCTGCATAAATCTCAAGTATATGACATAGTTTTGATGACTACAGTCACTGTAACAAATATTAGATCCGTGATATATTCATATCAGAATGTTCAGACCCTTGGGCCAACACCTCTCCATTCCTCATATTTCCTAACTCCTACTAACTACTCTTCTACTCTTTGGATTTTATGCATAAGTGAACTCATTCAGCATTTCTTTCTATTTTTGGCTTACTTCAAGTTCATACATGCTGTTTCAAATATAGAAATTCCTGTTTTTTTCCAACACTGAGTAATACATCATTGTGTGTGTACACCAGTATTGTGAATCTGGTCATTCAACTGACACATACTTGGATTATTCCTGTTGGGGTTATTGTGACTAATGCTGCTTGAAGAAGGGCATGCTGATGTCTGTTAGTCATATTGATCCTGTTTCCTTTGTATAGGTAACAAGTAGAGGGGTTACTGGGTCATATAGTAACACTATCTTTGTTTTTTGAGGAAATGAATACCATTTACACAATGGTTATACAAATTTCCATGCATACCAACAGTATGCAGGCTTCTTTTTTTCCACATTGGTCCCTACCAGTCACTTGTGTTTTCACTCCAATAGAGATGAGGTGATATTTCACTGTGGCTCGGACTTGTGTTTCTCTAACAATTATTGACATAGCACACTTGTTGACATTTGTATGCCTTCTTTGGAACAACGTCCATCATATTCTATGCACCTTAAAAAATGGCTTTATTGTATGAGTATCATGTATTTTACACACTAACCTCTTGCTTGAATAATACTCTATAGGCTATCTTCTCATTTTACTATTTCCTTGCTGTAAACTTTTGGAGTTTAAGTTGGTCCTACTTGCCTACTTTTATCTTTATTACTTTTGATCACATATCCAAAAACAATCATTACCAATGAGGTTTTTGGGGTATTACGTCTTCTAGTTCTTCAATTTCAGATCTCAAATTTAAGTTTTTGTTAGTTAAAAATTGTTTTGTTGATAGCATAAGAGTTAATTCCATTCTTTCTCCAGTTGATAACCAGTATTCCCACTGAAATTTATAGAGTATTCTGTTCTTAGTCTACTTTGTGTACTTGATGCCCTTATTAAAGATTGATGACTAATCTGAATTTATTTCTGGGATCTCTGTTTCAGTATATTTAAACACACACACACACACACACACACACACACACACACACACACACGTACATTGTATGTGTAATGAAATAAATAATTTAAACAAACCTCCAGTGAAACAGAAGTAGTAATTAAAACTCTCCAAACTAAAAAGGTGACATGGATTTAGCTTATAATTCTCCCAGCCCTTCAAAGTAGAACTAACACCAGTACCTTCAAATCCTTCTACAGATAGAAATGGGGGACATTCTCAACACTTTTTATAAACCACTATTACCCTGATAATACCACACTGAGAGTCAAAAAAAAAAGAAAAGTATAGACCAATGGTTTTTTATGATCATTGATGCAAAAACTCAATAGTTGCAAAAAAGAATTCTTGCAAATCAAATTTAAGAACACACCAAAAAAGTCTGTGCAACATGATCAAGATAGCTCCATCTGAGTGATTCAGGGCTGTTTCAGTATAAACAAACAAATAAATAAATAAAGGAATAAATAAATAAATAAACATAACTTAGTTAGGATTTTGGGGGGCTGTGAAGAAACACCATGGCCACAGCAACTCTTGTAAGGAAAAACATTTAATTGGGGTAGCTCGCTTACAGTCAGAGGTTCAGACCATTATCATCACCCTGGGAGCATGGCAGCATGCAGGCAGGCATAGAGTCCTTTATCTTGTAGGCAACAGGAAATTGACTGAGACACTGTTCGGTATCCTGAGCAGAGAAAACCTCAAGCCTGCCCCAACAGTGACACACTTCCTCTAACAAGGCCATACCCACTCTACCAAAGTCACACCTCCTAATAGTGCCACTCCCTATGAGATTATGGGGGCCAATTATATTCAAACTACCAAAATAATCTAACATATAAACAGTCTAAAAGAAGGGAAAAAAAGATGATCATCTCATTAGATGGCTTTTGATAAAAGTCCAATATCCCATCATGATAAAAATCCTGAAGAGACCAGTAATACAAAGGACATATTTCAACATGACAAAGGCAGTTTACAGGAAGCCCACAATCAACATCATCCTAAATGAAAAGAAACTCAAAGCATTCCCACTAAAATCAGGACCAAGACATGGATGTCTATTTTCTCCATACCTACTCAGTATAGTACTTGAAAGCTAGAGTATTAAGAAAACTGAAGGAGATCAAGAGGATACAAATAGGAAAAAAAGACACAAAATTATCCTTATTTGATAATGATATAATTCTATACAGTAAAGACTCAACCAGGAAACTCCTACACTGATAAACACTTTCAGCAAAGCAGCAGGATACAAAATCAGCACACAAAAAACAAAGATTTGTGTAACTGAACTTTTTAAGACATTGAAGGAAAAAATTGAAGAAATTGAAAAATGGAAAAATCTCCCATGCTCATCAATTAGTAGAATTAGTATTGTGAAAATGGCCATCCTACAAAAAGCAACCTAAAGATTCGATGCAATCCCTATAACAATTCCAACACATTTCTTCACATAAATAGAAAATAATAATCTTAAATTTCATATGGACATACAAAAGCCAAATAATGACTAAAATAATCCTGAATAATGAAAGAACTCCTAGAAATATCATCATCCCATATTTCAAGTTGTATTTGTAGGGGCCCACAAAGATTTCATAGTAAAACCTTATTCTATCTTGACTCAAGGTCAGGGAGTCTGAGCTTGTTTCACCTCCCCCCCACGAGGCTGCATAATAGAATGTTTTGGCCAAAGGCATGGTTACCAGGTGTCTTGTACTTCAAGGCCTAATTACAGGATGCTTTGCCATAAGGCGTGGTTTCCAGATGTCTTGAGTACTAAGGAGGTGTTTACACTTGTCTGTACTTTGTACCTTGAACTGTGATGTCCTTGCAAGGGTGAGGTCTTTTTGTTCCCCTTAATTTGTGTATAAATAGGCTGTGAGTAATAAACTCAGGCATTTGTGGCATTGACCCAAAGCTGTCCTGAAGTAATCCTGTGTCTGCCTTTTTCTTCATCTATATCTCTCTATATTTTATATCTATCATTTCTCAATCCTCAATCCTCCATTCAAGGATCATTCAACAGATCAGGGCAGGACTACAACAGTATTACACAGATATGGTTAAAAAAAAAGCAGGGTATTGGCATACTAACATACATGTTAATCAATGGAACACAGTTGAAGACCTAGGCATAATGTCATATACCTACAGTCATGAAGTCTGCCCTTATGTCTGTGGTTGATTTGTCCAGTGTCAGTCCATTGAAGGAAACTAATTTTTAGTAAGAAATTTTTTTTATTCATTTTACATACCAATCACAGATCCCCCTCTTCCCTCCTCCTGTCCCTCCAGCCTCCCCCCTCAACTCACCCCCCATTCTCCTATAAGAAGGTAAGGCCTCCCATGGGGAGTCAGTAGAGCCTGGTAGATTCAGTAGAGGCAGGTCCAAACCCCTCCCCTGCCTCAAGGCTGTGCAAGGTAGTGGGCTCCAAAAAGCCAGCTCATGCACCACAGATGGATCCTGATCCTACTTTCAGGGAGTCCCTTAAGCAGATCAAGCTACACAACTGTCTCACTTATGAATAGGGATAAGTCCAGTCCTGTGGAGACTTCACAGGTGTTCGTCTAAATTTCATGAGTTCCCACTAGTTTGGTTTGGTTGTCTCTATATGTTTCCCCATCATGATCTTGATGTCCTTTGCTTATAGAATCCCTCTTCTCTCTCTTCAACTGGACTCCTGGAGCTCAGCCTGGTGTTTGGCTGTGAATCTCCACAGCTGCTTCTATCAGTTTCTGGAGAAAGGCTCTATCATGACAGTTTGGATATTCACTGATCTGATTACTGGGATAAGCCAGTTCAGGTACCCTCTCCACTATTGCTAGTAGTCTAAGCTGGAGTCATCCTTGTAGATTCCAGGAAACTTCCCTACAACCCACAGCTCCAGAGAAGCTAGTTAACAAGGAGGATCCAAAGAGGGATGCATGGATCACCCTGGGAAGGGGAAATAGATGAGATCTCTAAGAGTAAACTGGGGATGAGGGGTGGGCAATAGAGGATAGGGGATGGGGGATGAGAACAGAAGGGAATGGGATGGTCAACCTGAAACAGGGATGGAGTGGGAGAGCAATGATAGAGGGAGACATCATGGGGATAGGGAGAAAACTATTTTAACCTTTCCCAACAGGTATCAATCACAAATAGCTTCTTGTTCAGGGTGGGACTTTATCTACTTTCCCTTCTCAATGCTAGGATTTTGTCTGAGTTGAACCTGTGCAGATTTTGTGCTTGCTTTCATAGTCTCTATAAGTTTATATGTGCATCAACCTTGTTGTGTCTAAAAGACACTATTTCCATGGAATCATCCTCCACATCTGACTTTTTTCTAACTTTCATTTTATTTATTTTTGTGTCTTTCACATCATGCATCTCAATCCCATTCATTTCCTCTCATTCATATCTACCTTATGCCCTTGCAGCATCCCCCTACCAATAAAATTTAAGTAAAAAAGAAAAAAAAAGGAAAACAAGTCTTGTCATGGAAGTTGTAGTGTGACACAGTGAGCCATACAGTAAATCTTTTTGTCCATATATCTTTATTTGCAAGTGTTCATTTCAAAGAGTTTCTGGTCTGACTCTTATAATCATTCTGTCTTCTCTTCCATGTAGATCCCTGAACCTTAAGGGAAGGACTGGGTGCTTCAAAATTTCTCATTCTCTGCACGTTGCCCAGTTGTGAGTCTCTGTGATAATTACCATCTACTATAAGAAAAAGCTTCTGATAACAGTTGTATGATGCATGGATCTATGGATATAGCAATATTTCATTAGGAGTCATTTTATTACTAGGTTCATTTAACAAAATAATAATAGCAGATTTCCCCTGGGTCCATGACTTATGTAACCTCAAGTTTTTGAACACTTTAGCAGTGTCGTGTATAGGTTCCATTTCATGGAATGGGCCTAAAAAAAAGTCAGTCAAAAAGTGGTTGTTTACTCCCATAACACTTGTGCCACTATTGCGCCAGTGTGTTTTGTAGACAGGTCACCATTGAATATTGAAGAATTGGTATCTGGGTGAGATTAGGTCAGAGTTGGTATCTGAGTGAGATTACTGATTACTTTTAACCTCTGGTTAAAAAGTAACCTCTGCAGCACCATAAATGCTAGTCAGTAGGGGTGAAGCTTCAAGTTTGGTACCAGTTCTCAATTTCTGTATATTTAATGACAGAAGTAAGTGGTATCTTCAGCAGTAGGGCCTTACCATCAGGTTGTGGAGGATAACCAATAGCCTTGGTAACAATCTGTGATATTTGGGAGAAGTCTATTGGACCCCTTTGGCCAACAACTCAAGAAGATTGGTCAACCTTTAAGGTATGTATGGGCATGGATCCTCCCATGTCTCAGCTTGTAAGAAGGTGCCTGTAGCAAGATCAAGGCTGAACACTTTTGTAGCCAAGAACACTTGGGTTTAAATGGGTCTGCTTCTACATTTAGAGCACACAATTGGAAGCCTACAGCCCAGGTGCAGTTCCTCCTTCTCAAAAATGGTTCCTCTAGGTTAGTTTCTTTTCCTGTTATGGTAAAATGCCCTGACAAAAGAAACTTAAGAAAGAAAGATGCTATTATGACTATAACTGTTCAAAGTACAGCCTGTAACAGCAAGGAATGTGCTAGAAGCAGATTGCCTCGTTGCATTCACAGCTAAGAAACAGAATGTTTGCATGTTAGTGCTCAGTGTGATTTTTTTCTATTGTATAGTATCCAGGATTCCCCACCCAAAGAAAGTCTCACCATGGTTAAGACAGATCTTCCTATATCAATGTTATTGGGATAATCTCTTATAGACATTACCAGAGACTAACCTTAACCTAGAAAATTCCTTAGAGGTATGCCTACAGGCTTTTCTCCTAGATGATTATAGATTCTATGAAGTTAACAGTTAACACTAACTCTCACAACTCAGTCTTAGGCTCCACAATTCTGCATCTTTCTACCTGAATCTTAAAGTTTCCACAAAATACTTTTGTAAGTGACTATCATTTTGCTGTGGGGTTATATACATGAACATCCCATTGTTCACCATCTGGCATAAATATTACCCCTCTCCCATGCTCCATCTTTAATTATGCTTATGGCTCAGCAGCCTAGAGTTCATGAAACCCCATTATTCTTGGATTGCCATACTGTCAACTTGGCTGTCAGCCTCACCTCAAGTTTCCCAAACTCCTTGTATTGAGGTCATCCAATCTATCTGCTCCATTTCCAAAGTTCTCTTGTATTTACTGAATAAAAAGCACTACAGAGTCCTTAAAATTTTCATATATAAAAAAACTGTGTAGCAGATATCTATAGTTTAACCTAAGTGGTATACAAAGTATTCTTTTTATTCAGAGACACTAAATCTTTAAGAAAATAATCATTAATGGTAACATTGTAGAGGGAAATTCCATCTGACTTAAATCCCTTCCTTTGCCAAGACTTTTTGTAAAAGCATGGCCAGATTCAAGAACTGAATATATTTAAAAAACAAACATTGTCATTCTTCTATGACTTATCTTCTCCAAAGTATAGCTAAGAAAGATAGCTATTATGAGAAGCAAATTTATGAAAATTTGAAACTACCGATGAAGTGAAAATTACTCAGGTAGTTGCCAATACATCCATTATAAGGGAGAAATAAAAAGCCAGAGTTTAAGATGGAAAACATGATTATACAACAAAGGCAAAGTCCTAAGTTCAGAATAAGATCCAAGTGACATTATGCAAATATTTTCATTATCATCAACCTTATAAATATTATTCAGTATGGTTTTCTTCTGTGTGCCAATTCTTGAAACAAATTTCAAATTATTATGATTTTTTTACTGTATTTTAACAAGTATGTTTATTTTGTCCTTCTACTCAGAGACAAAATGATTGAGAGGATCTTTATTTTATAAGCAAACAAGAAGTTCTGAGACTGTTTAAGTTCTGGTGAATCTTATTCATAGAAATCAGCCTTGCTTTAAGCAAATGGTAAGCAGTGTTACACACTGATGAGTGAAGTCCAAACATAGAGACACTAAGGACACTAGTCCTACTAAGGACACTAAGACACTAAGGACACTAAGTACACATGAGCCCTGTATGTGTACTTATTAAACAAATAGTGTTTAAACATAATAAATGCCTGATAATTTCTAAGTTAGGATCCCATCTCTTCAAGCATACAGAAAACAAAGGAAACACATGTTTGTTAAGAGTTCCTAAAGTAAGTATATTATTATATTCAGGACCTCGCCTTTCAAAAGATCTAATGCTTTGGCTATCTTAACTTTGGATAATCCATGTGAATATGTGTGTGTGTGTGGTTGTGGGTGGGTGGATGCATGGGTGCACATACTTCACATGTGGGTAAGTTTGCATGCTCTTTAGTGTAGTGGGGAGACATGAATAGTAGTGCATGTGTACATGTATGCATGTATATGTGGAAGCTAGAAGTTGACATCAGGCATTTTCTTCGATCCCTCTCAAAGGCAGGACCTCTCACTGAACCCAAAGATCTATGATTCATCTAGTTTATCCATCTAGCTTTCCCTAAGGATCTCCTGTTGCCATCTACCTAGTTTACAGGTGGGCTGCCATACCCACCCAGCTTTTACATAAGTGCTGGGGTTCAAATTCCAGTGCTCATACTTGTGAAGAAAACAATTTACCCACTAAACTGTCTGCCCACTAAACTGTCTGCCCAGCATATATATATATATATATTTTGCCAGGTGGTAGTGGTGCACACCTTTAATCCCAGCACTTGAGAGGCAGAGGCAGGTGGATCTCTGTGAGTCTGATTCTGAGACCAGCCTGGTCTACAGAGTGAGTTCCAGGACAGCCAGGGATACACAGAGAAACCCTGTCTCAAAAACAACCCCCCCCCCAAAAAAAAAACCCAAGAACAACAAAACAAAATTATGTTAGGGATTGGAAGAGATTGGTAATGCATACCCTCTAACTTCATCCTACCTGGAAGCTCTCCTTGGAAAATGTCATGTTTTCACCTTTCATGTCCTAAAACCAAAGTAAATGATGTTACTCAGTTATCTTCCATGTTTCCCTTCATACTGTTAGCAGAATAATATGACTAGGGAAGCTATCAAGTTAATTACCATGGGCTCCCTCTGCTGGTGAGTCAATATGCCAAGAGCAAAACAAAAGCACCAAGCAAGGGAATTTTTCATGACAACACATCAAATACAAAACCAATAAAGCATGAAGGTGTAGCATGAATCTTAAAAGTTCTTATTAATAAAATCAAACCCGGAGCCAAGTATTGGGGCGAAATGCTAGAAGATCAGAGAGACAGAACAAGCCACAGTTATCTCACCTTTCTGGATCCTCAGCTGGTCTTGTTTCCTCAGACTGGAGGCTTCTGAGTCCTCATCCAGAATGGCTCTCAGCTGAACTGTGCTGCTAGAAGCCTGAAAGCTTAACCAGCTATAAGTTTAACCAGCCAAATGCTTTTAGTTTCTGATCCTCATGCCTTATATACCTTTCTGCTTTCTACCACCACTCCCTGGGATTAAAGGCTCGCTTTCTGGGATTAAAGGCATGAGTCACCATGCTTGGCTGTATCCTTGAACACATGGATTTCTGCCTCTGGAATGCTAGGATTAAAGGCATGTGCTATCACTGCCTATCTTAAGTACCTAGTGGCTTTTCTGTTCTCTAAGCCCAGATAAGTTTATTAAGGTGCACAATATTTTGGGGAACACAATACCACCACATGATGGCCTTTACAGATTAAGATCTTCATCCTCTTTATAAGATAGTAAGTTACTTGCACTAGAGTTTGGATCATAAATTTCACCCAAAAATCCAAAGGGTGAAAGTTTGATTCCCTAAGGGGTTGTTTTGGGGAGGAGCTGAAACCCTTTATCTATAGAATTTTACAATGATGTTCTTGGATCATTGAAGGTAGCCTCAAAAGGGCTTGTTGGACTCTAGTCCCATTCTCCCATTTTTGCTTCTTGGTGATGAAGTGAAAAGTTTTGTTGCACCTTCTCCCTAAAGGCTAGCTTTCATAGTACCAGAAGGTGCTATGAAAGGTTCCAAAGGAAGGACACAACCAAGAGTCCCTCCCAGCTATGACACTCATGAACTACATCAAGGACCAGCATGGCATAATAATCCTAAGGGTGAAGTAGTGGTACACATGCCTTGGTAGTAACCAACTGCTCACAAATTAGACTTAAGACCCTCTCAATAAGAAGGAGACCACACCTGGTACTTGAAACTCAGTGTTAGTGAAATTGTCATTATTAGAGAAGAATACACAATCATTAACTTACTAAACCTGCATAATCCCTAACAACAATCCACAAACATTTTTCCTTATACCAACCAATAAGTGTAGTATTTATCACTTAACAAGGAAACTTCTCTTTGCAATGAATGGAAAACACTACAGAAAACCACAACCAATCAAAATATGGAGTTGTAGAGTCCAAGAGAATGCCTAATGAATAGATTTACAAAAAACTCCCACACCCAAGGCACAGGAAATATTGTAGAAGAGAGGGCAGAAAGATTGCAAGGGCCAGAGCATTGTAGATTTTGCTGTGAGACTGTGTTTCCTAGTAATATCAGATGCTATACCCATAAAATCTCATCAACATGACTGCTCAAACATAAGCTTAACACAGAGGACACCAATGAACATACCAACTTCTTGTGGCAGGAGAAGCCTACAAATGCTCAACCCTACCTAAAGAACTATACATAACTGAAAAATGCTGAGAAAG